TTCAACCACACATTTTTCAATAAAATAATATTTTCCATCACATCAATAATCTTATCTTCTTTTTCAACCACACATTTCCCATCATATCACTATTCAAAATCAATTCTTCCCCCAAAAAATCCCTACCAAACAAGCTCTTAAATATAAACTAGGCAAACGTGCATTGCACGTTGCTTGCACCTAGTAGTATAAAAAACGTGAAAATCGAGTGTAATCAAATAAGGAAATAAGAAAAATGGAATGAACTCGTGGTGAAACAAGTTGAGCTGCTTAGAAGCTGAGCTCTCATGAGTTGGCGTGTCAAGTAGGAAAGCGGCCCGAACACCCCTTCAATGGCCATGTCTGGGTGCTTGGTCATGGTCCAAATCTATTGACCTGACTTGGCCACCCTACAACTTCAAGTTTGACATCTTAATTGAATTTTGAGGTGTAAAATCTTAGTAAGATAAAATGGCACCATGTTTGTTAAGTGGTGGACACAAGGCTAACAAGTAACCTGATTGCTCACAAATTAAAGTACTGCAGTGTGATTGATTCAAATTAAAAAATAGTAACTTGATTACAAGTCAGTCTAAAATTTAGCGATCGTTCCTAAACTTTAACCACTTTTATACATCCAAAATTTTGGTGGGCCAATATGGCTCAATTGATATTGGTTGAATTGAGGATATAAATCGATAGTTTTTCTATAAAAAATCTAAACAAAATTAAAGTTCCATCGACCAAAAACTAGCGACCAAGAATATTTCGCCTCACGATTTTTTTCATTTTTTTTGAACTAAATCACAACATAATCCACATATCGAGTCATGTACTGGACATGTCCAGATGTGAATACCACTCAATTCACTTTACATCTCTAAGTAGAATTTATTAACTCAAATCTAGTTTATGATCTAATTGGTCCGAGTTAAGATTCAACGAAAATCACGGGTTAAAACTTATATATGGAGACCTTAACCCGCGTTTAATGCCATGTCTAGTCTTTATTGAATTTGCCTTCATTTGGTACCTTTCTCTTGACCTGCACTCAAAACAGTTGTTTACCTTAAATGTCCATTTCAACTGTTAGCCACAACTAGATTAGAGAAGAAACTAAATTAAGACAAATCATTTGTGGCCCCATAAAATCAAGCCATAAATACTCACAAAGCAGAGAGAACCGGAGATGATACGGATCAGCAGCCCCCAAACTGTGAAGGAAAGAACAAACATAGG